GTGTGTGTGTGTGCGTGCGTGCGTGCGTGCGTGCGTGCGTGCGTGTGTGTGTGTGATCGTGAACGAGCCATCACAGCAGATGAGGAACATCTGGCGAGCGGACGCGGGGATGCGCTCACACACATTTAATGACAGACAGAGGCTGAACTGAGAAAACCTCAAGTCATGTGTGCATGTGTGCACAACATATAACGAGGGACAAAATTCAGGATTACCTCTCAGATACAACTGAAATGCTCACGTGAGCTCTAACGAACGTGTTTCTATATATTTTAGTGCGTTTCATGTGTAAAAGGATTTCACTAGTGCATGTGAATGAAAAAAAAATCGCAGTATGAGCGAGTCTTGATATTTTATTTATGTTTTTATTATTTTAAAAAACTCAAATGCAAAAATATTATCATCAATAATTATGTCATTTTAAATACATTTTTAAAATTTATTAGACCAAATATTCTGACTCATATCAAGCTACCATGACATTCAAAATACAGTATTAACATGGCGGACATGTTGGCAGGTGCGGCGTACCCATCAAAGGCAATGAAAAGCACAGACGCTAGCTTAGCATCATCAAAGGCATGCACCTCAAAAGGAGTGTGTTGTAGCGACCTATTCTCATCTGTAGTTGTTGTTTACATGGTCGTTTGTCGTGGACAAGGCTCCTGAACATATTCCTGTTGATTTAGATTTGTTTTTGTGAAGCCCTACCAATTGTAACACAGATGAAAAAAGGAAGCCCCCCCCACCCACCCGCAAGCACTAGCGAGATCAGTTTGAATAAAGTTTAAAACATTCCAGTTTCAAGATTTTTTTTTTATATACTGTATACAGAATATATTCATTCATTCATTCATTTTCCGAACCGCTTAATCCTCACTCGGGTCACGCAGGGTGCTGGAGCCTATCCCAGCTGTCTTCGGGCAGTAGGTGGGGGACACCCCGAATTGGTTGCCAGCCAATCGCAGGGCACACAGAGACGAACAACCACCCACGCCCACACTCACACCTAGGGACAATTTAGACTCTAAATTGGTCGTTTGTTGTGGGAGGAAACCGGAGTACCCGGAGAAAACCCACGCAGGCCCGGGGAGAACATGCAAACTCCAAACAGGGAGGCCGGAGCTGGAATCGAACCCGGTACCTCTGCACTGTGAAGTCGACGTGCTAACCACTGGCCTATACAGAATATATATTTACAATAATGTTGTACTGTATTGGGGATTTTCATGCCACAAAAACGGAACCCCACCCTCTCCCCCATTAATCAAAAACAATTACAATGATTTTAATTAATGCAGTTGGCACGTCAACAAAACTGTTTCTATCATCATGTTGTACAATCTCCCTGGTGGAGGTGACGTGTACACAGCGCAGATATTAGGGGCGGTGACGGGCTAAATAACAGATGGCTAATAAAGACTAAACTCGGAGGCACCACGAGGAAAGTGTGACTTTAGAACGCTAACACCACAGCCAAAATGTGACAAAGGGCATCCTGTGGGACAGCTAAAATCGGGAGTGGGGCGAAGTGACCGCTAGCTTAGGAACAAGAACCGCCAAAGTGTTAGCTCGGACGCTAACTTAGCGCAGTGGCACGCAAAGGGGCGGGGGGGGGGTATTCAGTATAAGATTTTAAAAATCTTCCTTCCACAACTACGCCGTCAACAAAAATTTTCAGGGGACATCATATCTTCATGTGCTCGCCTCCGCCATTCACTATTTTTCACACGCCACTGACTGCAGTTTATCAATAGCTTGTGTGAAGGTGCCAGATGGGCACAAAATGAAGTGTTTACGTTCTAATTTATTCATATATTGCTCTTTTTTTTAATAAAGTATAGTATTATGGAGTGATGTTTTTCCATATAAGGAAAACACCAAACAATTTGGGGGGTAGGGGCTACACAAAAAAGTAGCGAGTGGAATGGAGCTCAATATAATGGAGGAAAAGTAGTGTTTTTCCTTTACAAAAAGACTCATGTAAATGTTA